TACAACTCTTATCACAATCCATACATCCATCCATTTTGTCAAGCACATTTGTACTTTTGTTGCCATCATCATTCTCAAAACATTTGCTTTCTGCTTGAGCCCTTGGTATCAACTCTTCATTTTTCCCCTCCCTCCCTTCAGCCCCCTCCCTCATGAACCCTTGATAATTTATAAATTATTATTTTGTCATATCTTGCACTGTTGAACATTTCCCTTCACCCACTTTTCTGTTGTCCGTCCCCCAGGGAGGAGGTTATATGTAGATCCTTGGAATTGGTTCCCCCTTTTTCACCCCACTTTCCCAGTATCGCCACTCTTAGCACTCTAACTCATATCTTTAACAAATCACTTCCAGTAAATAAAGTCCCCATCATCCTGTTCTGACTACTTCTAATCTGGTACTAGATTACCCAGGTTTGTAGTCTGCCACTCTCTAGCCCTATGGGTTTGAACAAGTTGCCGGATCACTCCTCCACGCCTCAGTTTTCTTATCTGAAAATGGATCTGATATGATTGTAGTACTCACTTCACAGGTTTGTCATGACAATTAAGCAAGGTCACAAATGCAAGGGACCCCTGCATGCGCTTGAGCTGCAAACTGCAAGGTCAGCGGTTCAAAACCACCAGGAGCTCTAACAGAGAACCACAAGGCTTTCTACTCCCATAAAGAGTTACAATCTCTTCCTTAATGCTTCCTCCTCCCCCTCTATCATGACCTCAATTCTACCTTACAAATCTGACTAGACCAGAGCATGTACACAGGTACAGATAAGAGCTGGAAACACAGGAAATCCAGGACAGATACACCCCTCAGGACCAGATACACCTGGCAATAGTCATGCCAGGAGGGTTAGGGGAAAGTGGAAGGAGAAAGGGGGAGCTGATCACAATGATCAACATATAACCCCCTCCCAGGGGGATGGACAACAAAAAAGTGAGTGAAGGGAGACATTGGTCAGTGTAAGACATGAAAAAAATATATACGTGTATATAAATTATCAAGGGTTCATGAGGGAGGGGAAAAATGAGACGCTGATGCCAAGGGCTCAAGTGGAAGGAAGGTTTTATGAGGATGATGATGGCAACAGATGTGCAAATGTGCGTGACACAATGGGTGGATAGATTGTGTTAAGAGTTGTATGAGCCCCCAATAAAATGATTAAAAAAAAAAGAGTTGCAGTCTCAGAAATCCACAGGGGCAGTTCTACTCTGTCCTATAGGGTGGCAGGAGTGAACAAGTACAGAGTTCTAGGAACAGTGCCTGCTACAGGGTAAACATTCCATACATTTCGCTATCAGCAGCAGCTTCTGTTCTTACATTATAACTACCGGTATCCACTGAATGGCTGTTTCATAGCACACTTAGCCAGGTCCCTCCTGGTGGATGTCCAGGTTATTGTAGAGGAACAATGGACTTCTTTCTACATAGAGCTTTATCTGAAATGCACACTGTTTCATTAGAAGTCATGAAAGTCCGAATCACAAATATGAACCTCATTGAAGTTGTTGAGGCTGCGGGTTTAAAGCTTTCGGGGATGCCTCAGTAGGTGCTGTTTCTGCTTTCCCAGGGGCCCCTTCCTGGTGGCCATGGGTCGCTCCTGGCACCCGGAGGAGTTCAACTGTGCCTACTGCAAGACCTCCCTGGCAGATGTGTGCTTTGTGGAGGAGCAGAACAATGTCTACTGTGAGCGGTGCTACGAGCAGTTCTTTGCCCCACTCTGTGCCAAGTGCAACACCAAAATCATGGGGGTAAGTGGGCTGAATGTCTCTGCTCCGACCCTCCTCTTCCCCCCAGTCCTCACAAGGTCATGGGTCCCAGTGAGGGAACTAAGGCGCTTCTAGTTAATGAAGGGCAGGAGGAGTAGCTAGTCAGGAGGTAATGAAGAGAAAACAATTCCATTTCTACGCTCGAATGGATTTGGCTTGCCAGTGAACTAGAGAGCCAGTGAACTTGAAGTGAGAAGTGATTCTATGTGCCTGCCTATAATGAGCTCTGATGGTGCTAAGCCCGAGGGGAGCAGTTCAAACCCACCAGGAGAAAGGTCGGGCTGTCTGTTCCCATGCAGAAGTACAGTCTCCGAAGCCGTTGCAGACATCCTCAAACTACGGCCCGCGGGCCACATGCGGCCCTCCGAGGACATTTATCCGGCCCGCCAGGTGTTTTTGCCCCGTTTGTTTTTTTACTTCAAAATAAGATATGTGCACTGTGCATAGGAGTTTTTTCATAGTTTTTTTTTTTTTTTTTTCCCTCCAACGGTCTGAGGGACAGTGAACTGGCCCTGTTTAAAAAGTCTGAGGACCCCTGGAAGGATCACACGGGGTCGGAATCCACGCACTGGCAGGGATTGTGGTTTTAGCGTTTGTTTACACAGCTTCGGGTGGTGATGGAGCTTCTGCAAAGCCCGTCACCGTCACGACTTCACCCCTTTCCGAGAGACTTGGCCCTCGGAAAACTCTGGTCCAATGGCAGCAATAAGCACAACTTGCAGGTTTGCTCCAGGATGAAGTGTTGCAGTTTATGCCGGCACCGCGTAGAGCCTGGCACTTGGCATTGCTGAATGAGTGGGGACCCTTCCTCACCTGTCCCAGGCCTTCCCTCTGGGTGACCAAGGCCTAACCCTGGGCTTCCCTGTCTTGTTCTCTCCATGGGATACTCTAGCAGTGGCCAAGGCCTGGGTGGGTGGTCAGGCCCAACCCCTCTCTCCCGGGACCTTTCTGTCCTGAGCGGGGTGCTTTCTCCACAGGAAGTGATGCATGCCCTGAGACAGACCTGGCACACCACCTGCTTCGTCTGTGCAGCCTGCAAGAAGCCCTTTGGAAACAGCCTCTTCCACATGGAAGATGGGGAGCCCTACTGTGAGAAAGGTAGGAGCACTGTAACGGGGGGGCTGGGCGTCTCGGGGCCTGGGCGGTGGGCATGAGGATGCTTACCGTCCTCTAGTCACAACTGAACATCGGGAGGTGGCATTTCTGGAAGGTAGGGCTTTTTTCCCCAGTGGCCGAACCATGCCCATTGAGCTTCAGACATCACAAGCTGGGGCCCAGAACTTCTCTGTATACGTTCGGGCCCTACTCCCTTCCCTGCGCCAATCCGGGATCCAGAAGTGGGCCTCTTCTGGCTATTTGGGGAGCCTTTCAGATGACTTTGATTTGGGGGATCACAGGGTTCGGTGCTCACATGCCTTGGTGCTGTACTTTGCGCTGGGGTCTATTCCTGGCTGGATCCCAGGCTGGCTTTGGAGCCCTGAGTGAGTGACCAAACTGCTCGAAGCCTCCTTCGTCTCATCCTTGGAAGGGGGAAAGAAGGGTTAGACCAGAGAAGGCGGTAAAGTGGCAGTGATTGATGGAGACTTCCTGCCCCTGCTTTGATGTTTACCAGGCACTTCCGTTCCTTCAGAATCCAGTAATCTCCCTGTGTGAACGCAAACCTATTCTGTAATCTAAAATGTTGCATGTTAGCTTAACATTTAAGACAAGATAAGAACTTCCCCTGTGGGTTTCTGAGGCTGTAACTCTTTCAGGGAGCAGAAAGCCGCATCTTTCTCCTGGGGAGAGACTGGTGGGCTCAAAGTGCTGACCCAGCAGTTAGTGGCACAAGGAATAACCCACTCTGCCATTGGGAGGAAGGTGTTCTACATTCAGAAGTCCGAGCCCTCTCTGAGAGCGTTAGGAGTCTCAGTGAACTAGCCACTCACTCACTCACTCACTCATTTACCCTTGGCTCATCTCTTTTGACTAGGATCCCTGGTGGCATTGTGGATTCTGTGTTGGGCTGCCAATCGTCATGTCAGCAATTCGAATCCATGAGCTGCTCCTTGGAACAAAGATGAGGCTGTTTGTGGGTCTGTTCCCATAACGATTTACAGCCTCAGACACTCTAGGGAGCAGTTCTACTCTGTCCTACAGGATCGCTATGAGTCAGGATTGACCCCCATGGCAGTAGGGCAGTGGCAGGGGTGGGTAGAGCCCTGGTTTGTTTGTTATGGCTTTGGAAAAGAATTTGAGGCAGGTACCAACAAAGGTAATAGAGACCCCAAGGTTAAGACGAAAGAACTAGAGAATCAGCACATGGGAATTATGAAAACCTACAGGCTACTAGCAAATTTGACTCTGAACTGCCTGACATCCAGGGCAAAAGAGAAATATAGTTTGTTAGTTTACTTCAAAGCCAGGAAGAAAGCATTCCAACTCCCCCAGCTTGGGATGGGGGGAAGAAAACTTTTTAAAAAAGTGATAAATACAAGCTCCCAGTGACAACATCCAACTTGGACGACCTGTACTTACAAGCCAACCTAGATATGAAAAATCCAAGGCACATACAAAGGTCCAGAATAACAAATGAGTGCTACTTTGTGAGGTGCATCAAAACATTATTATGACTCTACTATTATGTTAAAGAGGTTTTAGTGTATCTGGACGTATTTTTAATGCATAGTGAGATATACTATATACCATATAACTAAGACAAACATCGACTACCTGACACTACATATGAAACTTACCTAACTGTTCCCATTTACATACATCACAAATTCAACCTAGGGACAGACTTAGGAGCAGAATATGCTCATGACCTGAGAACTGCCTGCCTACAAATGATAAGAGGGATCTTATGTACTGGCAAGTTCTCTGCAGCTCAGTTTGTCATTCTGGGCCTCAGTCTCCGGATCTATGAGAGAGGGAAGGTGACACCTGTCTTTTCTCCCCCTACAAACACATGGTGATGACTGGTAATTAATATAAGTGCCATCTGTTGTCATTGGCAACCCCGTGTGTACAGTTTAGAACTACTGTGACCTTTTGGAAACATGTTTTCCATGGCACCTCTAGGTAGGTTCAAACTGGTGGGGGCACTTGCTTGTCAAAGGTACAGGCTGAGCCAGCCTTGGGGAAATGATAGGATCTAGACTCAGAAAGACTTCACTGGGCTACAAGATTGAGCTGGCACTTGCATGTATGATACCCTTCATACCAAAAAACCAAAACAAAACAAACTCACTGCCATCAAGTGGATTCTGACTCATAACAATCCTATAGGACAGAGTAGAACTGCCCCTGTGGGTTTCCAAGACTGTAACTCTTTAGGGGAGCAAGAAGCCACGTCTTTCTCCCAAGGCGTCGCTGGTAGTACCAAACTGCCGACCTTGCAGTTAGTAGCCCAACACGTAACCCACTACACCACCAAGGCTCCTCGCACCCTGCATACAAGTAAGATGCACCTGCACTTAAGCAGTTCTAAAGCCTAGCTGAACTCCACAGTCTTCTCCCACAATTGCCTGGAACCTTAAAAAATATAAAGAAGGTAAATTCCCAGGTGAGCCTTGCACTGCTAAGCCCAAGGTCAGCAGTTTAAACCCACCAGCTTTTCCACAGGAGAAAGATGAGGCTTTTTATAACCCACAGGGGTAACTACTCTGTCCTGTTGGGTCACTATGCCTTTGGTTTGTTGCTCCGGAAAAGCACTAAGCCCTTGTCAGCACAGAGCATCTGTGATTTGATGGATGAGGCTCGTTTTCAGTTGCAGTAAACTCCATTCAATACAAGAGTAATTATATGAAGTTGGAGCATAGGAGAGTTAGTCAAAAAAACTTATAAAGACAATAGGAAAAAAGAAAGAAATGAAGCTCTAGAGTATGTTCCTGGTGAGAAAGGCCCAGGCACAATACGGATTACATTCTTCCTTTATGAGTGAATGAAGGACACTACTAGCCTTTTTTCTCTTTCCATGTACTCGGGTCAGACCTGTGCTACCCAATGGTAAAAGAAAGTATCAACTTCCCAGGTCCACACAGGATCAAGTTGACCACAGAGAAATCAATCAGTGGATGAGACCAGACATCCTAAAAATAGATTTAAGTTATTGGAAGAGCTTAATCTGTGAGAAATAATAGGCCACACAACAGCAGAAGGAATCACTGTTTAATAAGGTTGTTTGAATACGTTCTTCACATGTCCTTCTGTCATTTATCCACCATATTTGTGTTAAGCATGTATTCTGGGCTCATCTCTCTGAAAGGTGCTCATCTCTATGAAGGGCTCATCTCTATGAAGGTCAAGGTGACTATGATGAAAACCTCCAGAACCCATCATCATATGATATGCTAGCACATCAATGGACAGTTGAGAGATGGTTGGTTGGTTGGTTGGTTGGTTGGTTGGTTGGTTGGTTGGATGGATGGAAGCAGAAAGCAGGAAGCCCAGAGAAAACCTTCAGTCAAGCCACCTCATCTCTCTTGGTGTGAGTTGGGAAGTGAAGACTTTCAAGAAAGAAGGCCTGATCGAAAGGACCCAGAGATAAGGTGGATGGACAACAGAACTTAATTACATGCAAAAAGAACGGCATTTATGAGATAGAAACATCTGCTAAGATGCAATGGCAAAAGTTGAAACTGGAGGCCGCCTACAGAAAGAAGATGAATGTGGAGTTCGTCAGGCTTCATTCTGCTCCCCACGACTGGTGAGATGGCGCCACTCGAGCCAGTTCTCTCAGTTTCAGCATGGGAATAAGGCCTGTTCATGAGCCACATGAAGATTAAACAATACAGGAGATGCACTGCTATTCACTGGCTTCTCAGCAGGCCTTCAGAGCATAGCTCCCTTCTTTCTCTTCATCACGCATGATGCCATTTAAAATAAGAGCAATGTTTTTAAGCACTTCACGTACATTATCTCATCGAACTGTTTCCATCATCACATGAGTCAGCTACTATCATTGTTCTCACTACCCAGATGGGAAATCGAGGCACTGAGGAGTTAAGCCATGTTGCCCAAGGTTTGGACCATTTTCATCAGTAGAACTGGGACTTGAGCCTAGTTCTTCCTTTTTCAGAGCCCAAATGTCAAACCACCATGGTGGGCACACTGTTCCTGAGCATGTAGTCTAGACACTAAACAGGTATATCCATGAGGATATGTCATCAAATATTCATGAGGAGATCTGAACAGGAAATCACTATGAAAAACAAAGGCCAACTATGGCAGAGTTGTGGGGGATCAGTCCAAGTCTGGGGGACCGTGAAGGTTCCATAAAGGGGACTTGGCTCTTCTAAAGAAATCTAAAAGGCTGCTACAGTACTAGGTATGGTGGAATCACTGCCCCTGGGACTCAGAGGGTAAGACTCCTGTGGAGAGGAGCACCAGACCTGACCCCTGGGTCTCAGCCGTGCAACTAGTCAGGCCCTTGACCACTTTTAGCCTCCACTTCCTTATCTGCTTAAACACAAAACAAATCACAACAGTTCATATCTCAGGGAATATTGTGGAAGTTCATTCATTGAGTTACTGGTCAACTGATTGATCCGTTCACTAGTCTCTCTATTGCTTTGGGTTGGGTACTGAGTGTGAGCTAGGCTTTCTGCTGGGAGTAGAAAGAAAACGGAAACAGGCCTTGACATGGAGCTACTTGTAAATAATGCCATCTCTACAAAAAATGATTGGCAAACTGTACAGCATAATACAAATAATATTCAGCATTCTTACCTCCTTGGTGATGAGGGGGAAGGGCATGTTCAATCAAAGTAGCTTAGGTATTATTTCTAGTAGTGAAGATTTGGTATCAACACAAATGCCCAATGACAGAAGTGTAAGCAAGCAAGGAATATTATATAAGTTTGAAGAATGTCACATGCCCTCATTCTTCCCAAGGAAGCATAGCTGCTTGGAAATACAGCTTTCTCTTTCTCTCTTTCATTCTGTCTCTATGGGCTATAATAGGTGGCAAAGGCAGAGGAGAAAAACACCCTGCAGAAAGCTAATGTGAATTCCAGAGTGTTTGTAAATCAGACCAGCACAAGGTGGTGACTAAGCCTGCGTCTGCACGTCAGTGCAAACGGTTGTGAAAATAAAAGTCTCATTCAAACGAGTATTTTGTCTGCAAGTTGACAAGCAACCGATCTGATTGGGGGTGGTCCTGGCATTGAGTGGGTGGGGCTGGGGCACTTCCTGCCCCTGCAGGAGGCCTGGTCCTCACTTGCCCTTTCATTTCAGACTACGTGAATCTGTTCAGCACCAAGTGTCACGGCTGTGATTTCCCCGTGGAAGCTGGTGACAAGTTTATTGAAGCCCTGGGACATACCTGGCATGATACTTGCTTCATTTGCGCAGTATGTATTTGAGCCCGGGAGTCTGACATGCCCGAACACGGGGCAGCAGGGACGAAGTTGGGGCCAGCTGACCAATGTGCCGCATTCCTCTCCACTCTGGCATTCTGATACTCCGATCTGTTTTTTCAATTAACTTTGATGTTGATGTTTTTGAAGATGCACACCAAATCCAGTTCCTACCTGTACAATTCAGTAACATTGATTGCAGTCTTCAAATTGTACAACCATTGTCCCCCTCCATGGCTGAGATGTGCCTTCTCCATTACCATAAACTCACTGCCCCATTAAGGTTCCAATCGAATCTTTCAAGTTGCTCTTGTCAATTGGATCCCCTATACTCACTGCCATCGAGTCAATTCCAACTCATAGATTCCCATATGGATAGATATTACCAGAGCATACTGCTCCAGGCAAGTCTTCTTGGCTAGTTAAGATAAACCATAGTTTGGGTGTTTTGGAAACTTCTCCAAAAGGCATCTTTATTATATTCAGAAAAACCTGACAGTTAAAACTAGGGTATAAATTAAGTATACTGAGGTAATATGCTTTCCCCCCTCTTTTTAAAATATTTATTTTAATTTATTATTAATTGGGAGTTAATACAGCTATCCTATCATTCCACAGTTCAAGCACGTCAAGCAGAATTGTACAGTTGCTACCACAATCCATTTCCAAGCAGTCGTTTTCTTCCTGGACTCCTTGACATCATCTCTCTTTTACCCCTCACCCCCGCCCCCTGCCACCTGCCTCCCCCTGAAACCCTTATTCTCCCTGCTATCCCTGTAGGTTCATCAGTCCTGGGTTTCATATACTGAAAAACAGAAACACATATAACACAATGACCTAACACCTCTGAGATAAACCCGAATATGAAAAAACAAAAACAAAAGTACCGAAAATGTTGAAAACCTAGATCAGGTCTAGCATGCATCAGAGGGGTGGGGATCAACTGACAGCATTTTAACTGTTCAAGTCAGGTTTATCCCTTTGATCTTCTATACTCATCTCTCCAATGCACGTGCTTAGTGACCACTTTCCTCCCATCCCTCAATTATGGAGAGAGGGTTCACCGGAGGCTTATTTCCTGTGTAGTACTCACAAGTGTATTTTGACTTCCCATTGTCACCCATAGCCTTCTGCTAACTGGATTCTCACAATTTAGGCTCTGAAACTGATCTCTCCTTCGACTTTGAAATATGTGATTTACAGTCCTTTGGTGACTGATGGTGTGCTGCTTCCACGTGGACTTAGTTGACATCTCACTTAGATGGCTGCTTGTTTGGAGAGAAACCTTTAAAATTCTAGATGCAACTTGATCTGATAGCTTGGCACCATCTAATTTCTTCGCCACATTTTGCTATAGCACCCGTATCTTCTGTGTTCCCTTCCTGAGGGCGAGTTTGGAGCAGGGCCATGATCTAAGAAATACTTGTTCCTAAATTGGAGCTAGGATTTAGTGCGAGCCCCAAACCCATTCCTGGATCTATATTTTTTGTTTGTTTTTTATCTGCCTTTGACTACCTTTCAAAACCTCCCTGTTAATTTATGGTATAGAGTCAATCATCCCCCCGGGTCATAATGATCTTCCATTAATATTGTATTTCATTAGCCCCTGATACTAATTTTTTAAAGCCCTGTTGAGAGAGAAATGATATTTTTGATTTAAGAATTTGATTACTGTGGTAGTTACATAATCTGTTGTCAATTTGAGACTTACGAGTGAAAGGGTGGAGTTTAGCCTGTCAATCAGGTCACAACTTGATGACCTCATTCAGAGGTGATAAGGAGATAAATAGCTCGCTGGAGGTGGGACACATGCTAACTCCCTGCGAGACATTTCCGTTGACAAGACACATGGAGCTACGCTAGTGCTCTGGAGTCGGAGAGCCCTGCCAGCGCTGAGATGTTTATATCACCACTGGATCCACAAGACCTTCCACCCACTGGCCTGTGATATTCCTGCATTTGGCGTCATTGCATGTTTTTCATGAGTCTGAAGAGGAATTTATAGATTGATATCAGACTTATGGACTTGATCTGGACTGGGCTGGAATGCTGTCTCAATATTCAATTGCTCTCATATATAAAGCTCTTTCTTATACACATGAGTGTCTATGAATTTGTTTCTCTAGTCTTCCCAGACTAACACAATTATTTTAAGACAATAGTTTGGGGATTTCATCCAGCTTCTATGACTCCAGACAGTCTGCGTCCCATGATAATTTGAAATTCTGTTCCATATTTCCCCTTTTGATTCTTCTATAGAATCTTTGATCCAAATGTTCAGATGGTAATCAGGTATGATCCTGTTCTTCTGGTCTCATGGCAAAATCATTAATTTTTCATAGAGGCAATGAGCCATACATCTGATTCCCTTCTCCTAGCGGGTTATATATTGAACTGCAAACCACAGGATTAGCAGTTCAAAACCACTAGCTGCTCAATGTGAGAAAGATGGGACTTGTTATTCCTGTAAACAGTTACACTCTCAGAAACTTAAAGGATCAATTCTACCCTGTCTTATAGGATCACTATGAGTTTGAGTTTGCACTGATTGGATGGGAGTTGTGTGACCAGAATAAGGGGATAGTGCATGGTTTAAAATCAGGAAAGGTGTGTATCAGGGTTATATCCTCTCACCATGCTTACTGAATCTGTGTGCTGAGCAAATCATCAAAGAAGCTGGATTATATGAAGAAGAATGTGGCATCAAGATTGAAGAAAGGTTTATTCACAATTTGAGATATGCATATGATACAACCTTGCTTGCTGAAAGTGAGGAGGACCTGAAGCACTTGCTGATGTAGATCAAAGCTTATAGCCCTCAGTATGGATAACAATTCCATGTAGAGAAGACCAGAATCTTCATCACCAGAAGATAGATAACATCATGCTAAATGGAAAAATGGATTTGGTCTAACTTGGGTTCACAGTCAGTGCTTATGTAAGCAGCAGTCAAGAGACCAAAAGACATTGCATTAGGTGACTCTACTACCAAAGACCTCTTCAGAGTATTGAGAAGGATTTTCTTGAAGGACTAAGGTGCACTTGACTGAAGCCATGGTATTTTCTATTGCCTCATATGCATGTGAAAGTTTGACATTGAATAAGGAAGAGCCCCCCCCACACACACACATACAAAATCAATGCTTTTAAATTGTGGTGATGGAGAAGAATATTGAAGGTACCATGGACTGCTAGAAGGACAAACCAATTTGAACTGGAAGAAGTAGGGCCAGAGTGCTCCTTAGAGGCAGGGATGGCATGACTTCCTCTTACATACTTTGGACATGCTGTCAGAAGAGACCAGTCCCTGGAGAAGGACATCATGTGTGGTAAAGTGGAGGGGCAGAGAAAAGAAGAAGGCCCTTAATAAGATGGATTGACACAGGGGCTGTAACAACATCCTGTGAGGATGGAACAGGAATGGGAAGTGATAATTTGAAAATATTTGAAAATAGTACAGACTGTTCTATAAAAGGTTTATATACAAGAGCAATTGAATATTGAGAAGGCATCCCAGCCCAGTCCAGATCAAGTACTTAAACCCAATATTAGCCCATATGTCCAATACCAATCTATAAATTCCTCTTCAGACTCACAAAACGCATGCAATGATGCCGAATGCAGGAAGATCACAGGTCAGTGGGTGCAAAGTCTTGTGGATCCAGTGGCAGTAGAGGCATCTCAGCACTTGCAGGGGTCTCTGCGTGGCTCCTTCAGCTCTAGTGTAGCTCCATGTGTCTTGTCAACAGAAATGTCTCCCAGGGAGTGAGTGTATATCCCACCTCCAATGAGCTATTTATCCCCTTAGTGCCTCCAAATGTGGTTATCAAGCTGTGACCTGACTCACAGGCTAAACTCCACCCCTTCACTCCTAAGTCTCAAATTGACAACAGATTATGTAACTACCACACTCAATGGTACCTAACAACAACAAGCATTTTAACTGGGTCAATTAACTTGGCCACCCCATGAAACCATGACCCTGAACCTCCAAACCAAAGAAATCCCATGAGATGTCTGGTTGATAAGCAGCCTCAGCAGTTAATCTTTTTATTTTTCTCTTTGTTGTACAAGAAGGCTTCAAAAAGTATGTGGAGATAGAGATTACAAGGCGATAACATTTTTTTCCTAAACTTTTTGAGACTCCCTTATGTACTCTGCTATATATATTTTTTTTTCTTTTTAAGCTGGAAAATACTGTGAAGCCTTCTTTCTATTGCAGTAGAATAAAATCTTATGAGTAGAAATTTTTTATCAGCCAATGAGGCTTATTACTCTTAGTTTCTTTAAGAACAATAGAATGTTCAAGGATGCAGCAAAACCAGTCGTTTTGAGATCATCACTACCAATGATCGCCACAGGGAAGAGTAGTAAATGATTCTTGGCCTCAAAAGAGGAACGTTGTCTTCCCTTCGGTATTGTGTGTTGGCTTCCTGTATGATGATTTGAGGATTTTCCCTAACATTTTCATCATGAAAATGAAATTGGAGTCTATTGACTGTTCCCAGGGAAAGCTGAGCTAAGATTTCCCTTGATAAAACCTTTAGAAAGTAGGAGTGGGTATCCGTTTACTTTGCTAAATGACCCCATTCTTGATATACGGTGGCCAAGACATAAGCCTTAGATTAGCAATTTACCTCATGCCATTTACTTCTGCTGAACAGCCAAGTCATTTTTACCATAGTATGGACATTTGCTTTCTGATGATATTGGTTTGGGAAGGGAACATGGTCAAGGAGCTTGCTGACAGTTAGGCTCCACATTAGAGGTAGGAAATGGTCTTGAAATGTCATTCTATGACTTGATTTGGAAAATTAATGTGCCGCTACTACTATTAATATTTTTACCAGTGCTGTTGGCTATAAACCTTGGAAATGTGTGTAATACTATGGTAGTTTTAAAACTTGAATATCAATAAACTTATGACCTAGGGCAACCCTAAGGCATAACTTTTGCCACAATACACTTCAGGTTCTATACTTCACATAAGAAAT